ACAAACACCGGGCATCAGTCACAGAATGTTGATGAATTTTCTCAAAAAATAAAAAAACATGGCACTGAAAGAAAGGGACTTATTGGTAAGTTTCGATGTGCAATACATGTATTCAAATATCTCTGGAGAAAATGAGCTAACGGCTCTGCTGGAAATACTAGAACGAGAGGGGGATATCGTGTAATCACAAAGGATCAGGAGGGAGTCGTTAAAAAGACTAATCGTCTTGACAATAGGGACAACCTATTTTACATTCAATGGGAATATCTATGACCGAATATTTGGACTTCCCATAGCATGTCCGCTGTCACAACTTTTGGCTAACGTATACATGGACAAAATAGAAGAGAACTTCAAGATGGCACCACTACAACCGGCAGTGCTCATGCGGTACCTGGATGATTACTTCGCACTTTGGTCACATGGTTGAGAAAAAGTGGAAGAGTTGCTGAAGTTTGTAAAGCAGATTGATTAAAAAATTCAATTCACGATGGAAGTAAAGGAAGGTGAGCGGCTATCGTTTCTGGACTTGAAGTGATTCGTTCTAATGGGACGCTCAAAAAAATTGTTCAGAAAGAAGTCCTATGTTGGGATAATACTCAATTTACGGTGCCATCACAATTACCGGCTAAAGATAAGAATAATGAGGAGCATGATCATCCGAAGCCTACGCTTAACGGATGTAGAATTCTGGAATGAGGAGCTGGACAAATTGACGAGGATATTCTTTGGTTATGGCTACCCAATCGAAGTGATATAAAGAAAGTCTACCGACGCAACATGTAAGAGTAGACAAATTGGATTGTTCAGGAGTTTACTGTATATCATGCGGCGCCTGCGAACAGAAATATATTGGCGAAACAGGGAGAAAAATTAGCACACGAATCAAGGAACATCAGAGACTGTGCAGGAAAATGGATACCGAAAGATCAGAACTAGAGGAACACATCGCGCAGACTGGACACAAGATCAATTGGAAGGAAACAGAAAGAAGGGCCCCATTCAGTGACATCACAAAGAAGCGGAAGATTAGGGAGGCTATTGACATCGTTGGGGAGAAAAATCTAATGAACAGGAGATTGGAGGAAGGTAGTTTGCGATAACTTTGCCAATTGCCTAAGGAAACTCGGGGAACACAAGAATAGAACAAGACCTAGAAAAAGGAGACGCCTGGATCAAGTATTTACCGCTAACCGGATAAAAAGAGACGCAATGAAGAAAGGGGGC